CTTTCCCTATAACATTTCTGCCCTCCCAGGCTGTACCTTTCCTGTAATTTTGACAAGAATTACAACTGCAACAACCCTAGAGCAAAAACCTATTATCTGCACCTATCAAGGATCAATTTGAGGTACAGTTTAGAAGCAAATTTAAGGGTGAGCAAGAAAAATGTGTGTACTGAGATTACATGTGGCCAGCACCACATTTAAAGTGGAATATTGCTTCCAGCATTAGCATCCCAGGAATCCATGGTCCAAGCCTAAGCAGTGCTGATGTGCATCTACATGAACTGGCAACCCAGCCATAGGTAACCCTCTATAGGTAAGATTTTATTTACACTCACAATGTCACGGTACTTTGCTGGTGAGGACCACAGCTAAGGCTCTTATGCCAGCGTGGCAAATGTTTTTCCTCCCCCAAAGTCATTCCTAGATCTTTTGGGGTCAGATTCCTGGCCTAACCGCTTTACTAGAGCAAACCAACTCTTCAGAGGCAAAGAAAGAAAGAAGCTCACCATGGAACCTATCAAAACAATTCCTCCCCTCACATTGCTTGCCTGAAACAGTCTTCTAGTTCAGAGAATCTTTATGCCCTGGTACCTTCAAATATTTATTTTTCAGTCTTATTATGACCCACTCAGGACAGCTAGCATGTTTAAGTTTAGACAGTATTCAAAACACTTTTATGCTTATGCTATATATATATCTATCTTAGGGTACATCATTTCAGTTACATTTTCGGTTTCACAATGTACTCAGTTACTTAGTGTTTAGGACCAGGCATGGAAGATGGTCAAATGTTTAGATAACCAATTAGGCATGTTGGGAAAGAAAAGAAATTTTTTAATTTCAGACCTGCAGTAACATAATTTAGCATTAATGAATAACAATTCCGAGTAAATGAAGGCTCAAATATAATCAAACAAGTTCTTGGCTTCAGCTACCAGCTTGTCATATTCGAGTTGTAAGGAATAGCCTTGTCTCATGTCATTACCTGGCAGCCTGCGTAGCCTGCAGCTGAAGTTCTGTATTATTGCTATAAATGCCTTTAACAATTTCTTCAACGGACCAGTGGGCAGTAACCTGCAAGAGAATCAAAGACGGATGCATCAAGTTTTTGAGACTATCCTGCTCAAAAGAGTCAGTGAGACAAAAAGTCACAACCACACTTCTTTTGCATAAGCAGCCCTTAGAATTATGGCTGTCTTCATGGCAGTACCAACCACTGCATTACTGCCAAAGGTTTCCAGCTACCACCCACAAAAGAATGAGGGGAAGAAGAGAAGCCTCCACCAAAACTGATAGCTACCTGATTGCTTCGGTTTTCCTGCAGAGGTGAAGTGGCCTCATCAGGGAAAGTACCAACATTCCTCCTTTTAAGCAGCTGGTCGTCTTTTTTGGCTTTCCTCAGCTCCACATTGACTTCCATCCTCCGCCGCCTCATTTCCTGAGAAAGACAAAAGCATTTTAAACTTGATCTTCAAATACCAAGAAAACTGTGGCCTGTAGTCAGCTGGCCAACTACTCACAGTGGAATCCTTTCCTTTATTCTTGAATCTGTTCAAACGGGCTGCAGCTGTTCCACTCACATTCTCGTTGGTAGACATTGTCGTGTTGATTACAGAAAGATACTACCAAATCTTTAAACAAATTAAAACAGTATTAGCCTTTTAAACATTTCAGGATTAAAATCATGCATTACTTATCAGATACTAATCTTTGAGAAAGATATAATTAAAACCCAGCTCAAAGTAACCAAGACGGTTTTTAAAGGCTTATTTTAAGAATGCTGATAATACAATTGCATTGTAGTACAATCCCTGTGTGTGTAACAATAATCACTATGTCTTGGGGTTAAAAAGATACCCCATTCAACAAGTTTTTAAATTTGTTCTTTGAAGTGGTTACCAAATACTAATGCATTAAAAGTCCGGAGTCTCTTTCTTTGCCAGCTGCTAATACTTTCAAATTCCGCATCTTTAAACGAGAGAAGAAAGCAATGTGCAATAACCAATAAGACCGTCACTGCCACTTTAACAGAACGAACCGAGTTTACGGAATTCCTTTGGTTACAGTTAACAACTCAGAACTCCACATCGATTTAAACACAAACTACGGCTTCAGTTCCAGGAATTTCTCTCTCTCTTTCGCTTTTAACCCCGGAAAGCTTCCTGGACGTTTCTACTCAAAACCAGAACATGAATAAATAAACCCTGCAAGTGTCTAATCTAACTCGCTACTTTTTTCCCTTTAAAGCCCAACTATAGGAATTACTACCCTGAGAACTCTCGACCAAAGTCGCCTCTGCAGGCTGTTTACCGAAAGCATAAGGAATAAAACACTTTAAAAAAAACAAAAAAAAACTGCATTAAGTGAAATCTTACTCGCGTTCTTCCTCCCACCCCTCCCCGAAAGCCTGTTTATGCTGCTACTTTTCTTTCTAATCAGACTTTCTTTATTCCCTGGCATTCACTCATCTCTTACCCCACTTTCAACAATTCCCCACCACCCAGAGCGAGCACCGCTTCCTCCCTTCTCACCAGCAGCTACACCGCAACCACGCCGCCACTCCAATGCAACTAACACTTCTGCTCTTAAACTGGCCTACTCCTCGAGGTGCGATTTAAATTTTGACCGCCTTCGCTCATTCATTGGTGAATTCGAGTAAAGCAAAATCTTCATTGGTCAGTTTGAAAAAAATAAAGTCCAGCCTCGCGCTCTGGATGGATGGATGGTGATGTAACTAAGTTCGCCTCTCGCGATTGTTCCGCTTAACGCTAAAGAGCCTCTGGACTACATGTCCCAGCACACACCGCGACTCTTTAGGCGGCTAATGTCGCGAGACTATATGCCCCAGCATTCCTTACAAAGTTTTAGTTCGAGGTTGGTTTTGCACTTTTTTTTAAAAAACTAGTGTTATACTGGGATTAGTGGTTGCCGCGTCTCTTCTGAATTACTATGGGAGATAAAGCTGGCGTGGATAATTTGCGATACACTAATCTGGACGCAGCCTATTAGTGATGTATTGTGAACTACTGAGAGTTCGAGAAACTCCAGTGGTGAGGTGAATAGTGTGTGTGAAGGGTCATCGAGTAGAGTAGCTTCCGATTTATGGCCACTCTATGAATTAATGTTCTCCAAAACGAGCTGTTAACAGCCATTCTCGGGTCTCGCTGGCTTCTTTGTTCGAGTCAATCTATTTCATGCTGGGTCTTCCTCTTTTCCTGCAGCCTTTGACTTCTCCTAGTATTATTGTTTTTTCTAGTGACTCTCGTCTTCTCATACCACAGTAGGATAGCCCCAGTTTAGTCATTTTAGCTTCTAGGGAGAGTTCAGGCTTGATTTGGTCTAGAACCCACTTATTTGTCTTTTTGGCAGTCCATGGTATCCATAAAACGCCTACACAAGATTAAAAAGGAATCAACTTTCTTCCTATCCGCTTTCTTCACTGTCCAATTTCCACAGGGATACATAGTAGTAACTTGATCTTGGTCGTCAGCAACACTTAAGGATCTTTTCTAACACCTTCATGGCTGCCCTCCCCAGTTTCAATCTCATTCTGATTTCTTGGCTGCAGTCTCCTTTCTAGTTGATGGTGGAGCCAAGGAATAGAAAATCTCGAACAATTTCAGTGTCACCATTGTCAGCCTTAAGGTTGTGTACTTCTCCAGTAGTTATAGGTTTTGTCTTCTTGAGCGGTAATCCTGCTTTGGCATTTCCTGCTTTAAACTTCAAACTCTTTCACTTTTCTTTCTTTTTGATCAGAAAAAGTTCCTATGTTTATGCTAGCAGATGGGAAAGGGGGAGGAATGCTGTTACCTTCCCACCGAAGTGGTACCTATTTATCTACTTGCAATTTCTTGCTTTCGAACTGCTAGATTGGCAGGAGCTGGGGCCAGAGACAGGAGCTCACTCCATCACGCTGCACAAGGGTCTTGAACTGCCAAGCTACAGACCTTCCAGTCTGCAGATCAGCATGTTAACCTCCGAGCCACCACGGCCCCACCATCTGGAATACACTGCACAATTCATTATTACAGTTAAGCTCTACAACACATCCACCACATCTGAAGGAATTATATCAGCCTTTCTTAAAACTCCAGTATCCAACCAGTGAAGTGAAAAAACAGATTCATAGGGACTACTTAGGGACAGGTTATTATGGGACAGCTATTCAGGAACAGGTTATTAAGGGATAGCATTCAAAGTGCAACAGGCCATCATTTGTCACCTACATATCTAAAGAAAATCACTGTAATGTGTTATCAATGGTCTATGATCTCTCTCTCTCTCTCTCTCTCTCTCTCTCTCTCTCTCTCTCGTGGTGTTAGAGCCTCAGCAGAATATACACTTTCTCTCCCACTGTTTACTTATAGATATATACATGCTCATATATACAAACACCATGGTAAGTTATACAGTCATACCTGATTCAGAAACCCATTTTATGCATGCAGTCAGGGAAGGGACACAGAGGGAGCAAGATTAATCAGGTGTACTCTGAAGTAAGTCATGTGTTGTTCAATGAGGCTTACTCTCAAGAAAGCGTCCTGAGCATTGTGGTCATAGTTGTTCATGTATACACAGGAAAATTCATTTACAAATATTCAACCATTCACGTCTCCCCACATTCTACAAAACAGCCCAATATACTATATACATCCTTCAACTCAGTACTGCCGGTGAAAGATCCCTTAAACATTCTCTCCCCCCCCCTCTAGAACCTTTGAGGATGGCAAGTTAAACTGGAAAGGTTATCATTTACTACAGCTTACATCTAGGTTAGACCTTTCCATTCTTAATGAGTCTACCCAAGGAGATATCCCCAGGGAGTATACATATTGGTCTGACCAAGGGGCAAGTACCATAGACTTTATTTCGACATCTTACAATTTGCTTAGTCACAACATGAACACAAAAGTAGGGACTTGACAAGATAGTGACCATCTCCCAATCACTCTGGACCTTAACATCTGCAACCTATCAGAACATACTTCTGAGCAACTCAGTGATGACCTAGAACCTGTTTCAAGCTTACAGAAGGTTAGTCTGGTCTGAGAAAACAGATCATCAATGCCAAGAATACTTTACCTCAGACAAAACATCTCAGCTCTGAAACACCGTGATTTCAGCAAATGCTATATAGATGCAGTCATTTCATCCTACCAAAGACTTATTCTTGGCTGGATGTAAACCCTCCTTAGGAAACCTCATGGCCACAATATCCAACCATTGAAGAAAAGCACATCAAAGACCTGGTTTGATGCAGACTGCCATGCAGTGAAAAACAATTTAGTGGCCAAATTCCAGCAATACAGGCTAAGTAATGCATCCAAAATTCATCCAGAGCTTCAAACCTTAAAGCAGTGCTACAAAAAACTTCTAACAAATTAAAAATGAAAAGCACAAAGGGACTCCTGGACCTGGATGATGATCCAAGCCTCTGAATCAAATCACCCTGCAACCTTTTGGCACCCAGTTAGGGCTGAGCTCCCTACAGAGTCTCCAAGGATGAACTGCAATATCTCCCCATGCCTGAGAATCTCACTTCCATGCCCTTTATTCATCTAATATAGACCCTAAGACATCCCTGGAGATCCAACTATGAAGCCTCCTGGCATGGCCACTGGTAACAATTAATGAAGTTAAAATATTAATAAACCAATAAAGAAAATTATATTCCCAAACTTGATTACTATCTAGTACTGTTGCAATGGAGAGTAAACATCCATGCACTTTCTGACATTCACAAACATATTAGAATAAAAGACACACAATTCATAACCTGTGTATTTATTTTACTCCCAGCAGACATGGACAGAAGCTGCTGTATCGCAAGTAACTGAGCATATCTCATGGTCATTCCCATACTATATTTTACATTAATTTCTTCTATAGGCATTAACCCTCCCATCACAAAATGTAATTTGTGAAACAGTCCCAAACACAGCAGTCTGAAGAGTGGTTGCTAGCTCTGCTGAAACAATTGAAAGGCAAGGAGAATATAAAGCAGTATTGGCTGAAGTGCTGGCTACGTACCCCTAGTCTGCCATTGCCTGAACTCTGCATCATTTTCTGATCAAATCTGGATGAACCAGCCAGCTAGCCTGGGTCTATTAGGCATCTTATTGGTTGTGATGATAGTATATCTTTAAATATTGTTAGCACACTAAGAGTTCCAAATAAGAATAGCTAGTCTGTTTTCAGTTGGGCAAAAGCAGTTAGTATTGCTGAGAGATCTAAAGAACAAGCTCCATATATATATATTGTAGTGTAAGAAGGCACTGTTTTCATGCAGTATAAAAGCTACTACAAATTGCTATTCCAATTGTCTTAAATTAGATTTGCCCTCAGAAATATGCTGGTGTACATACCTGATTTCATATTAAAATAGCCATTGCATAGTTTCAAGTCTGAGATTTTTTTACAATGACCAAAAGCCAAACCCAAAATACTCTGAAGAGGTAATTTTGGTATCCTGGGACGTGAAGCTTTAGAGAAAAAGAAATGGAGGAGATGGAATATTTCTGTCTTTAGCCATGAGTGTTGTCGGGGGAGCAGGTGCCTATGGCCCAAATGGTAAAAGTTGTTAATTTTGGTATCCTGGGACTTGCAGTTTTAGAGAA